AAAAGCAAAACTTAAAGCGGTTGAGTCTAAAAAAAAAAATCACATAAAGCTTTCAGCTTGGGGCGGAAATTATAAATTCAGAGCAAAAGTTCTCGATTTATTTCATTTCGCTTTTGGCAACTGCTTTACACAATTGCAAAAAGCAAACACAAATTTCGATGGAAGCGCGGACCAGGTATTGTTTTACAGTTTTTGTGGTTGTCAATAAATTATTGCAACATCGGTTTAACAGCAAAATGCTTTTCCCCCATTTATTTGTAGATAATTTCACGATTTTCCGCTCCATTCAAATTCTAGACAATAAGTTACGAAAATTTCCCAGCCTCGCATTTGTGTCTCTCCAAGGCAAGGCCGCTTATTGTCTTCGACGAGCAACAGCGCATTTAGCTGAAATTCTCTCCATACAAATTGCACATTTGTTTCGGATAAATCAGCTAAAAATACACTACAAATTGCTGTTGTCCCAGCTTGTTCCCTCTAATGCCTTTGCCAGTCACAACAGCCTCGAACTAATCATAAAATACTATATGCATCAAGGCCGTAAAAAAAACAATGTGCAACTCCCCCACTTGGTGTTAAAACTTTCAAAAAATTCCGGGAAGAAGTCTGCCTCGCCCTAATGAAGTTATGAGCTGCTCTGCTCTTCATTCGAGGGATGGTTTATATTTATTTTTGATGCCTCTCTGCAGGCATATTCCATAAATATGCTGAAAAGCCGGCGAAGACTTCCACTTAAGCAGCCACAATTAATATTTTCCATATCTCTTTTTCGTTCCCCTTTTGTTTACTCGAGTGGCGATTAAGATGTTTTAATATTAAGCAGAGAAAAAGAGAGGTCTTGGAGATATATATATACGTTTTATCTGGCAGAGAAAGCCACTGGCAGATGCAACATTCGAGGGCCTTGTGCCCATTGAGAGACCGATAAGCTCTAGGAATACGATTCTGTGTGGGCAACTGATTCATTTCTACTTCTACTGGGTCTGTTATTTATAGTACTTTATCTTCTATAGGAACTAAAACTGAAAAGAAGCAAGAAAAACTGAACTCGTTTGCCTAAAAGCCCAAAAGAAAACTGCTAACAGCGGCTTCCAGTCTTGGCCAAAATATGGGAACAACATAAAAACAATGGCCAAGCCGATTCCCACACGAATTTGCAAAACGCACAATTAACTCGCCTGGGAGAGAGGTCCCTCTACCTCTTGGGCTTCCTGCTGTGTATATGATGTGCCAAAGAAGACATCAAGTTGTCACTTGGCAGACGTATCCCCATAGCCAAGTATCCCAGTGTACGAGCCTTCAGCTGCAACAGCTTTTAAGTTGGTTAATTTGTCAAGAGCTGGTCGAGTGGGGGAAAAAGGGTAAAGGCAACGTCCAAAATGGTAGGAAAAAAATGCAATTCAGTGAAGAGAGTCCTTCAGTCGGGGCCTGGATGTCTGCGCCAAGTGTTTGCATTTAGCCGGCATGGCACTGACTGATGTACAGAAATTAATCACGCTCAAATAGAGCTCGAAACGATTTGCTTTTTTCGTCAGCTTCTGTTCTTTTTTTTTTTTGTTAATCCTTTTTCAGCTGTAATCCGGACAGTTTCCGGCCTTTTAGCATAAAAGTGCCCCCAACCAACAGGGTGTTACACGCATATCGATTACCTCCTCAAAAACCGGGAGTTCCCAGCGATTTAAAGCCCAGAAAGAGAGTGAGAGTTGCAGTTGCAGTTGCAGTTAATGAATCCCGACTTGTCCACTTGCAAAAAGGCAAAAAGTGAGTCAATCAACTTTTAGCCCCAACATTCCGCATTCCCACAGTACATCCCGTGTAGCAGCGAATTCCTGTCCCAGGATAGAAGCTACAAGCTGGGAACCAGCAACCACTTGCGGTTGCATTTTGCGGTCTGGACGAGCGTTCTCACATACACAAGTTCCAGAAAATAAAAGCAAACCAAGCTGTGGAGGAGCGGCGTGAGAGTTTTGTGATTTGGCCAGGTGGGTGGAATGGAGGCACGTGTTGCATACGGAGAACGATTTCCCCCACTCGATAAGCCCAGCTCTGTGAGATTATAGTTGGCTCTACGAAAGTTTACGAGCCTCTGGGCACAAAATGAAAGGTTAACAGCAGCGGACGACTGACCCTAATGGATCTTCCGATCTGAAGAGAAAAGTGAGAAAAGCGAATGGGTAGACCCCTTCACACTTTGACAAAAGAAAGTTCAAGATAAACCTTGATTAACCATAAAACAAGCCATAAGCTAAAGAGAGTCTTGAATTTAAATAAGCCAAGAAAAGACTAGGGTCTCTGGTAAGTATAACCCCCGATCAAGACTAGAATAACCTTGCAAAAATATTTACAAGGTGCCAAGGCAACTTCGTTTAGCATAGACGAATTTTCTCAGTAATCATCAGATATTCAAATCTCCCACAAAAATGACTAACACCTGTTTCGCTAGAAGCCCCCTCAATAGCGAATCACTTAACACAAATTCCTCAATATCTAATCATTCGCATTCACACTTTTAGTTACTTCGAGAGAGAGAGAAAACCGGTGGCCAGAAAGCCACATAATTGTTTTACGGCCACTCCATTTCACAGTTGCGGAACGCAAACAAACAGTTAACAGACTTTGTGTACTCTTGGCTTTTTTTGTTAATTAATTGTTAACAAAACGAAGTGTCAACAAAAAATATCCAGCCACTAGTAAAAGCGCCAACTTCCCATTTTTTGCTGACACTGGGCCATAATTTATAATAATAACAACGAAGCCTTTTATTATTACTGTGCCTCTGTACTTGTGTGTATCGAATACACCTTTTAAAGTCGCTGACTAAGTATGATTTTCGCTGTAATTTAGCCAAGTTAGCACGAAACGCTAAACGAGGTTGCCATACATAACCGAGACGACGATGAAGAAAAAACCCCAATTCAAGCCTGTATTTCAATTCAATTGAATTTCGGTATATACTTTTGAATTTTTAGCTCTAACAAAATGTGTTGCCAACGCCTCATTGAATTGCAAATCATTTGAAATTTGCTTATGACACGAGTTGGGGGAGACACTGACATGTAAGCTAAAAGTCCGGGTGGCACAATTTTATGGCAATTTCTGTACAATTCTTTGTCAATTGTCAATAGCCTTTTGGCAGAGTGTGTGCGCGGGTGTGTCTTTTGATTCGATGGAGAGACAATAGACTGTAGTGAGCATAACTGTATATGGAAGCCAGACGACTGACTTCCTCAAGCCATAAACCGGTGCATATATTACCCCAAAAGATTTATACAAAAGCATTTCGGATGGAGCTTTTAAAATCGAATGATCATTGACAGTTTTTAGCAGAAAAACCTACTCCACACCCTGAGATTATATCTTGGATATCTCAATTTGCTTGTTAAGTACGAATTGAGTTGTAAGAATTCTTGACTAGATCTCTGGCTAAAGATAAATGACCCCTTGGGCCAGACCACACTCGACTTTCAGCCTTCATTAATCAATGGATCGCATTGAGCTACTTCCCTTTTAAAACGCCTCCAAGCAAGTACGTGGGTGCAATACATGAGAGTTAAATCAAGCAAATATCCTTTCACTGCGCACGTATCTATCCAGGATCCAGTCCAAATATCCGTAAAACCTGGCTTGGGTTGTCCTACCTGAGAACAGGCGCTAAACCTTAGGAAACCGCACTTGACAGTAGCACACGAGCAGGTAGGCCCAAAATCGGAACTCTCACGTAGCTTGTCCAGGATGGGATCGAAGGGGACCCCTGCTAGGGTGCATTGTTCGCGTGCATTTCCTGATTTTTAATTAGCCAAATAGAAGCGAACAAAAGACAACAAGTTGTACAAACGCTTATCCCGGGGACGAGGAGACGTGCTTGGCATTTGGCATTTACCCAAGACAAAATACTCTCACACTCCGGGAGGACAGGAAATTAATTCAATATCAATATCATAGTGAGTACGACGAACTCTGGAGGAAAAACATGGCCAGAAAGTGAAGTGAAAAGCCACCACAGGTTTGGAAATTTTATAATCGCACCAAAACCGCCGCGAATTTTCCCCCAGTCAGCACACATGGTCTCTGTGAGAGCCTTGGCATCTTCGGACATGGACTTGACTTTGCCTCAGTCTGTTGAAAAATAATAACTTTGTGTTGTTGCTTTTCCAATGAAAATTGTACGCAGAATTTGCGTTTATTAGCTGTGAAGCTCAAGGGAAATGAGAACTACAGAAGCTTCAAGCGAAACGAAATGATATATATGGTATTATAAGGGATTAAAAGCATTTCAAGGTATTTTCCTATGCATCTCAGATCTCAAATCTCAGCTCAGATTATGTGAACTCGTTACCATTTGTTAAAAATACAAAAGAGACAGCTTTTTCTCATAACAAACCTTTAAGATATCAATCCCAACCAATCCAACTTTGATTCATTTATAATCGTTTAGCCCAACGACTTCCACTAATTAGGGGAGACGTCGACTGGAAAATTTACATAAAATGTTTATGCATTTTTGTAAATAGTTGGGAAGGTCTTTTGTCCAAACTATGTGTGTGGCCCCCTTGAGGGTAGCCCAATGGTATTTGCATAAAAATGCTTACTAAATTACTCAGTTGCAAATTTACTTTGTGTGAGCCAAAGAACCGGACAATGACGTACAGAAAGTCCGTGTATTTGCATTATAATCGCCTAGATGATCTCGGGGAAGCGGAAATGAGTTGCCAACAACTCAGTTACCGTTGCTACCTAAAGGTCTTGAGGTTCAATCAACTCTTGGTCTGGCAAAAAATCTCCCAAGATCTTGTCGCGCAATTCGATAATTGGTCTTAAAACTAGACTGGAGTGAAAATTCTAGACTTTCGCCAAAAACGAAAAGAAAACCAATCGAACCAGACTATATCTCGTTTGCCCCATCAAAACTTTCTAGAGGAAGAGAGTAAATTATTGAGCCGCCTTCGAAAACTGGGTTAGATTCGTTTAGATCGCGGAGAACGTTTAATCTGGAGGCTTACCTTTAAGCTGATGAGGTGCTTTTTTATATATATCCAAATGCGTTATGTGTGTAATCCCAAGACTCTACTCCAGACCGACTTTGATGGATGGCGGAAAAAGAGCTCTCCAGCGAAGACAAGACAAGGTCGCACTATTTTATATTTTTTTCTGTGTTTTCTGTTTTGTTTTTCTTTCGTCTGTTTTATGGCTTTAACTTTTATCGAGCACTCCACTGTACTTTGCATATGAGCCGCATTTCTACGCGTATTTCCACATCCAAAAGGTGCGTACTCGAGGGGGCACAGCGGATGCACACGCACAGGAAACAGGTGCAGTGATTTCCACTGGGCAATGCACTTGTGTTTTCGTTCGATTCTAATTCTGTTCACTGTTATTTTCGGGGCTTGCAAAATATAGTAATTTCGGATTCGGTTGCACTTTTGGTTTCGTTTCAGCTTTGACAGTCCCCCGTTAGTCGGTTCACGAAAGATAATGCAAAATAATATGGATATATAGCGCAGCAGCGACTGCTCTCGGCGATGTTTACGGTCACAATGAAGCCGCTGAGCTAGCGTCTGCGAGGTCTAACCTGCCGGAGAAGTCGGAGAGTCTCAGTCGCTGAGAGAACTGGAAGCGAGAGAAAGACCTGCGAGGGTTAGTTGCTAGCAAGCAGCGTGTCAGCGAGCGACGGATCGAGCTAAGGGCCAGCCAGCAACATGCAGAGTGTGTTTGTTTACACTGACAAAAAATAGGAATTAAATGAAGATTTTATTTTTGAGAATTCAATCAAGATTTTTTGGCTTTATTGAAGTGTATTTTTCAGATGAAAACGTTTATTTTAAGAAGAGAGAAGCTAACTTCTGGGAGCTATTCAGTTTTCAATTGGTTTATTCAATTGAATTATATTTATTATTATAATTATAAAGTATCTTCATACTAAAATAGGCATTCATTTAAATTAGAATAACTATTTTGAATTGGTTTTTTAGGTTAACAAATCAGCCTAAAACAAAATAATACAAAATTCAAATTTAACAAAAATGTTGACAATTTTAATGACCCCTTATAGAGGAATATAGCCTCTGAAAAATCATTCCCTTTTTGAATAGATATTTGCTAATTCAAATAAATTAATAAATTAGACTTGCCTCCTTATTTCTTTTCAGATGTTCTTGCTTGTCCTTGGCGATCTGAATATATGGAAATATCTTAACTAAAAAAAAATTTATTTGTTGCAGTGTGCTATAGCAACATGTTCGAACGCTTGCTCTCTTTCTCTCTCTCTGAACACTCAGAAAAAAATGATTCAAAAATATTTTTGAATTCTTTAAAATACTCAAAATTTAAAAATAACAAAGTAAACTTTTGATAGAGTAAACTGAACCTATAAATATATAAAAAGTGACTGAGTAAGGTTTTAGTGACATCACTTTGTTTATTTTTTAAAGTTGTAAGAAGGGTTAATATTTTAAGATTGTAGTACTAGTTTTCGATGAAAAAGTCGAGTTTCTGTTCAAAGTTAGAGTTTCTAAAAACCAAAAATATAGTTTCTTAACTCAACATGTGTGGGTTGCCGCTCGAACTCCCTAGAGTCTGGTGCTGTGGGCGTGCGAGTGGCTCCAACGGCCGACCGTTCGCTCACTTTTTTGAGAGCGAGAAACTGGTTTCCAATCAGACTTGACCGGCATGTGGGTTTCCTCGTGGAAATCGGCGTTGGGGATGGGTAGCCAGCGAGAACGGCAGACGCAGTTGAGTGACGCCGGATGGGCTTGGATGGCAGAGGTAGAGGCGGGGCAGACAGTTCTCGAATAGGGCGTGGAAAATTTAGGAAAATATATTAACAAAAAAGATATAACAAATAGGAGATTGGAAGATTCAATAACTAAAAATAGAAGTAGTGAACTTGTAAATTTATTAAATATTTAGAAAGAGCTTTAAAAGTTTTTATACAATTATTTTAAAGTACTTTAAGTACCTGAAGTCACCTCTGAGCACTCCCACATATTCCGTGGCTCAACATTTGGTTATTATTCCTCCCTAGAACCCACTCGTTGATTTATTATAGGCACGTTTCCGTCCATTTATGGGTTAAACACTTTTATGGCAACTGCTAACTCGGACTTGCCATTAAACATGTAATAAAGCCCTGAACTTTGGCCACATGCAAAGCCAACCGAGCGAAAAGAAAGTCCAACTTCAAGCGCAATTTTCAATTCCCCTTAGCATTGTCAAAAATTTTTCGTTGGCTTGATTTATTTAGCCCCGAAACGTAACAGAAACAACAAAGGAAAACAAAAGTTAAAAAATTAATTATGACAAAGTCAAAAAGTCCAAAAATTATTAATGAAAGTGAAATTATCATCAACGAACCGAAAACAGAAATAGATAAAGACCAAGTTGTGTTATTTTTTTTGTCTGCTCGATAATTTGCGGAATAGCTAACAAAAAAATTCGTTAGATCTTGATAGATGAAGATGATGGGTGAATGTCGGTGCTGATGGCTCTGCAGAGTTGTGAAAAACTTGTGCGAAAAATGCGGAACCAATTTGATTTGTTTGCTTATTGAGATTGATTTAATTAGCCAAAGCACGGCAACTTATGCAACTAACCTAACCCGGGGTGGCAATTAAGAATTCATGAATCAGGCCCTAATTAGAGGTCAGCGCTTAACGAACTCTAAGATGCCGCAACGAAGCAGGTAGAAGATAGGTTCGAAGGTGTAAGATATGGAGGCTCATATTTTAATATCAAGAAGGAAGCCCCGGGGGCTAGGGTATAAGAAATGACAGCTTCTTGTTACACGGCATTCCTCTGTCGAACGGTTAAATATTTGAGAAGAACACAGCAGTGCAAATGGAAATGGTATCATAGCACGCTTTTCACACGACCGTGTGAAAAGTACACACAAAGCCAGTCATTCGGGGGAGTTGTTCTAGGGCCCTGGGTCTGTGCTCCTCCTAGGCAATGCGGGGAGTCAGTCACCACCTTCTCCTCCAGCCACCAAATGAAGATGCAGACGTGACGAAGGTATGCTCCAGTTACAGAACGCCGTTCGCGGTGTAAATACAGCGGGCTTTTCATACAGTAAGGCCTGGGAGTGGAAGAACTTACATTCGTAAGCTCATCAGTAAAATAGAGTTCCCTTAGCGCTTCTGTATTTATTTTAAATACATTTTTCTTTAGGAAATTTATTTTTAAAAAATATACCTTAAATTGTTTAAGTTTCTTCTTAGCCAATCCATCCAGTTCCTCATGTACTGACCGCCTGAAGATGTAATTGCAGACTCAGCTGCAAGTTAATGGCCAACGGTCAGCAGCTGCCGCAGCCAAAACAGACGTGCTCCAATTGTAAACAAAATCGCTGGGGCTAAAAAGTCGCTACAGCCGGCATCTGTATCCGAATCGGAATCTGCACTTGTGCGAGTTGTGGATGTATCTGCATCTGCGGCCCCGGATGGCAGCAGAGTCTGCGATGAAGACGACTTCCCCTGCTGCTTCTGGCTGGCTTTTTGGGTGCCCAGCACATTTCCTATAAATAGTAGCAGTAAATCATAAATAAAACAAGAACGATTGATGCAATCAATCAAGTTGCTGCCACTTCGAGATACAATTGTATCTGCATTCGATTGATAGGTGTAATTGGGCGGCCTGAGTGTACTTGGAATTTATTTGATCTAGGCAATCATACTTACGGTTTAAACATCACTTAACCTTATCCGAGATCACTGGGGATGTGGCAGTAAATCAACCTCCAGCTGGCAGCTGATATTGGCCTCAGGATCGATATCATAAACAAGAACTTCCGATTGCGGCGTCTGCTCAAGTGGCAAGTGCCACGAGCGGCCTTAAACGAAACCAAGTACCTTATTAAAGCCAAAATAAAAAAAAACTTAAAACTTTTAGCAGCTGAGCGGCAACAGCTTGGGGACCCTAAACAGGTGGCATCGGCAGTTGGATCAGAGACTGAAACAGGAGCACAGGGTCTGTCGACGTCTTGGCCATATCCGCTGTCAGCGTTGTCAGGTGGCCAAGCTCTGGGCCAGGTCAAGCGGAAAGGCGTCGAAGTGTCCTGCAACAGAGGAGGGATCACCGACATTTGGCCTTCATAACTCATTTCAGTATCCATTGTGTTGAGAAGCTTACTAGGAATTTTGAATTTGTGCTGAATTCTTTTGCTGTGGCTTTTGGGTATTAATTAAGTTTGTTTCCACAGAATTCAGGTATGCAAAATGTCATGTCCTTTGTGCTCGATTCCAAGACTTGGGATTTTTATACAAATTCCTAATCAATTAGGTATGAAGGTTGTAGTTTACCATACAAGCACACTAAAGATTCTAACATATTTAGAAATAAATCATTATTATTTAGAAAATTTATTTTTAAATTATACAAATCTCAATATTTATTGCTCTAAAAAAGTATACATCTCATTCTCTTTAACCCATGTTTACTTTGCTTATTTTTCGTCCATCGTCTGTCTGCATTTTGATAATTAAAATGATATATTAATGCTGGATGATTTATTGTGCGAAACGTTTTCGTTTTTCGCCAGTTAATTATTGTGCTCATCGTTTGGGCCAAGAACGTTTTTAATAAGGCCTTTAAAACACTTCAAAAAATACAACAAAAACATTGAGTTGCCTAGATACATTTTCACTTTCGACTAATGTCTGTTTGGATTACCAACTTTCGATTTCAATCGCATTCGCAGCGCACACACGAACCGCGAGCGAGAAATTGTATCTTATGGATTGCACACTATAAATCAACATTAAATGTCGCTTATTGGGGGCGGCACTGGCGAAGGCGCCTTGACAGCAAATGCTACTTGTTCGGGCCAAACTTAAGCAAGCCTTTATAATGCAAAAAGATGCTTTTTATTTCATGTTTTCAGTATGCTACAATTTGAAAAATGGTTAGAAAAATCACTGGGAAATTGCTTGTGTTAGCAACGTGGATTTAAGTCATTATTAAATGCCAATTATGTTAATTTTTATTGTGAAATATTCATGGGCAATAAGATCAAGACATTGTGACACTTTCGACCAGGTCTTATCGATTTTTGATTATAGATTTTTGGGTAGTAAGCTTCTCTGGATTTCTTCCATTCCCCGTCGAGTCTAAACAGTATCATTTACAAATTATTTACACTCCCCAACCCATAATGATATTTCCATTCCGAGCACACAATATCCACAAATCAAACGGGATATTAATGACACTCAAATGTCTATATTACAACGCATGAATCGTAAAGAACGCCGTCCGGGAATTCTATCCAGCAAAAGGGGGAAGTCTAGAGAAATTAGTGGAACGGGTTTTCGGTTAGAAACTTGCTGCAACTCCGCAAGGTTTATGGCAAGCACTAAAAACTTTTCAAATATTCCAAAAGTTATTTGTTTTGACGCAGCAGAGAGCTGCACGCGGAGCTGGCATACATCTGCTGCTAAACAAATTTCATAAATGTTTTATAATGTTCAGAGCTTAAGCTCCGGCGGGGGGTAACTATAACTTTTCAAATCATATTATTACTCACAAAACAATGAAAGATGATAATGGCTGTCTCTGCTTGGCACTCAACTAGGGGACGTGGTTAGTGTCCAATATCTTGGTTTTGTGGAAAAGTTGTTAAAGTAAATTTAAACTACTTGTAAATGCCAATGAGAGATGATGATTAAGTCATCGTATGGAAATTGCATTTAATATATAAGAGAGCTCTTTAGTAAAAATTAAATTCGTCATGCAGTAATTACTTTATGCCATAAATTAATAGATTTTGCAGGCTTCGAAACAAAAGGTTTTTTGTCACAGAAGCTTAAAGTATATTAAACCATCAAGATGCGAGTTTCTACAACATTTATTTTTATCGGGATCTTCAGTAAGTTAAACTTTTTCTTAAAAATCTTTTTTAAAATAATAAACTCTTTATTAGCCACAATCTCCACACATTTTCCACCAGAAAACGCAGGACACATAGCGAGAGTATTCTGCCTGAGCGTTTTAAGAAATGTAATGGAGCAAACCCAGCTTCCAGAACAACTAGTTCTAAGTTGCCCCGATCCCACAAAGAAAGAAGAAGAGCTGACTGAACAGGTGAAAAGGATACAGATGGCGTTGATAAATCTCAAGGCATCTAAATGCAAATCAAAAGTAAAAAATAGAAGAAATTAATATTAAGAGCCACATAAAATATAGTAATTCTATAAAAACAAGAAAGAAAGCTAACTTTGGCCAGCCAAAGTTTGTATACCCTTGCAGGTAACAATAAAAATATATCATAACTAAGCCAAAAATGCATTAATTTCGATTCGGAAAGCAGTTTTGTGTTAGTTTTTATTAATTCAAAAAAACTGCATACCAAATTTAAAATATTAAGAAATCAAAATTTTTGGCCATTTTTGCTAATTTTAATGATGTTACCCCTTATCAAATTTCGCAAAAATTGCCAAAAAATCGATTTCTTCCGGACATGTCTAGAAAGATTCCGCTATTGATGCTGATCAAGAATTTATATACTTTATAGGGTCTCCTTCACAAACTTCTGACTGAAATTATAATACCCTGCAAGGGTATGAAAATGTACATTTATATCTGAATTCTACATTCGAGTTACTTTTATTACCCCAGAAGGTTTCAATAATGACTTTGATCGTGAAAAAAAGGTATCTTTAAAGTTAACACAAATAGCGAGATATATTTCCACAATCTTCTATTATTTTATTTTTCAACTGGATATATATTTCAAATAAAGAAAAATCAGTAAATTCAAGACTTCCTAAATATCCTCAGAGACTTTGTAAGGCTTGTCGTGCGTCAACATCTTTTTTTTCATCTTATGTTTTATAATGTTCAGAGCTTAAGCTCCGGCGGGGGGTAACTATAACTTTTCAAATCATATTAAAACTCACAAACCAATGAAAGATGATAATGGCTGTCTCTGCTTGGCACTCAACTAGGGGACGTGGTTAGTGTCCAATATCTTGGTTTTGTGGAAAAGTTGTTAAAGTAAATTTAAACTACTTGTAAATGCCAATGAGAGATGATGATTAAGTCATCGTATGGAAATTGCATTTAATATATAAGAGAGCTCTTTAGTAAAAATTAAATTCGTCATGCAGTAATTACTTTATGCCATAAATTAGTAGATTTTGCAGGCTTCGAAACAAAGGGTTTTTTGTCACAGAAGCTTAAAGTATATTAAACCATCAAGATGCGAGTTTCTACAACATTTATTTTTATCGGGATCTTCGGTAAGTTAAACTTTTTCTTAAATAATCTTTTTTAAAATAATAAACTCTTTATTAGCCACAATCTCCACACATTTGGTCTTCGCAGAGAGCAATTCAAAAGAAAATTTCGAAGATCTATCTTCATTCTTAGTAATGGCCAGGACCTTAGATGGTATTTAAACTATATAAATGTATATAATTTTAATAAATAATTTCAACATTTAACCCATTCAAACCAGATAACGCAGGACACATAGCGAGAGCATTCTGCCTGAGCGTTTTAAAAAGTGTAGACCAGATGGAGAAAACCCGATTTCAAGAAGAAAATCGTTGCCCCGATCCCATGAAAGTAGAACAAAAGCTGACTGAACAGGTGAAAAGGTTAACGATGGAGTGGAAAAATCTCAAGGCATCTAAATGCAAATCAAAAAAAAAATAAAAGGAAATTAGTATAAAGAGCCACATAAAATATAGTAATTCTATAAAAACAAGAAAGAAAGCTCACTTTGGCCAGCCAAAGTTTGTATACCCTTGCAGGTAACAATAAAAATATATCATAACTAAGCCAAAAATGCATTAATTTCGATTCGGAAAGCAGTTTTGTGTTAGTTTTTATTAATTCAAAAAAACTGCATACCAAATTTAAAATTATAAGAAATCAAAATTTTTTGCCATTTTTGCTAATCTTAATGATGTAACCCCTTATCAAATTTCGCAAAAATGGCCAAAAAATCGATTTATTCCGGACATGTCTAGAAAGATTCCCCTGTTAATGCTGATCAAGAATATATATTGTTTATGGGGTCGGAAATGATTCCTTGACTTAGAAAAGTATTATTTTGTATTATACAATCTGATTTCTTATATTAAAAAACTTCTTGATTTTTTTTTTTTAATTAAAACTATCATAACTCGGCCAAAAGAGCATTAATTTTAAATCGGAAAACTGTTCTGTGCAAGATTTTCTACAGTTAATAAATCTGTATACTTCATTTAAAAAATTTGGAAAATTCAATTTTTTATCAAAATCCAAAATTTCAATGATGTAACCCCTTATAAAATTGTGCAAAAATGGCCAGATTTCTTCCTGACATATCTAGAAAGATTCCCCTGATCAAGAATATATATACTTTATGGGGTCGGAAACGTCTCCTTTACTGCGTTGCAAACTTCTGACTGAAATTATAATACCCTGCAAGGGTATACATTTTCTTCTTAATGGTCCTTCCCAATATCACCCGAAGAATACTATAATCGCTGCATCTACAAAAGTGACTATAGAATGCAGTTTGCACAGCAGCAACTTGACTCGCAGTCTGGCGAATGCTCTCCCCTCCAATCGTTATAATCGATAAAGTTTTTACGATCTTCGATGCTGTAATGTGTTGTAAATTGATTTGATAGCATCCATTGAGCACTTTGAGGCCATGAAAGTGAGTATAAACTGGCAGGCGAACACGTTGAGTGCATTAATGCACGGAAACTGCTCCATCGCAATGCCTCCCAGCCAACTTCTTACTGTTCTGAGTAAGTCCTCTACACTTTAATGCTTTAAAATAATGTCTAGTTTGACTTTTTGCAGTTGTGGTCATTTCTATTCTAGGTCTGGGACTTGGCTCTGATTTGGATAAAATAAATAAGATGAAAAAAAAGATGTTGACGCACGACAAGCCTTACAAAGTCTCTGAAGATATTTAGGAAGTCTTGAATTTACTGATTTTTCTTTATTTGAAATATATATCCAGTTGAAAAATAAAATAATAGAAGATTGTGGAAATATGTCTCGCTATTTGCGTTAACTTTAAAGATAACTTTCTTTCACGATCAAAGTCATTATTGAGAACCCAGAATAATAAAAGTAACTCGAATGTAAAATTCAGATATAAATGTACATTTTTATACCCTTGCAGGGTATCATAATTTCAGTCAGAAGTTTGCAACGCAGTGAAGGAGACCCTATAAAGTATATATATTCTTGATCAGCATCAACAGGGGAATCTTTCTAGATATGTCAGGAAGAAATCGATTTTTTGGCCATTTTTGCAAAATTTTATAAGGGGTTACATCATCAAAATTTTTAATTTTGATAAAAAATTGAATTTTCAAATTTTTTAAATGAAAATCTTGCACAGAACAGTTTTCCGATTTAAAATTAATGCTCTTTTGGCCGAGTTATGATATTTTTAATTAAAAAAACATTTTTTAATATAAAAAATCCGATTTTATAATACAAAATAATATTTTTCTAAGTCAAGGAATCATTTCCGACCCCATAAACCATATATATTCTTGATCAGCATCAACAGGGGAATCTTTCTAGACATGTCCGGAAGAAATAGATTTTTTGGCCATTTTTTGCGAAATTTTATAAGGGGTTACATCATTAAAATTAGCAAAAATGGCCAAAAATTTTGATTTCTTAAAATTTTAAATTTGGTATGCAGTTTTTTTAAATTAATAAAAACTAACACAAAACTGCTTTCCGAATCGAAATTAATGCATTTTTGGTATATGTATATGATATATTTTAATTGTTACCTGCAAACGTATACAAACTTTGGCTGGCCAAAGTTAACTTTCTTTCTTGTTTCTATTTCACAATCTAAGAACTTAATGCTTTTAAATCTAAGTTTTTTTCTTATAGCTTTAATTTTCTTAACTTATATAAAATTATGAATAAATATTCATTTAAAGAATTCCGGACTTTCTGAAGGGTCTTCTTATTTTAGTCAGTGAAGGATTCATTTCCGACTCTATAAATCGTATATATTCTTGATCATCATCAGATCACGCTAATCTTTCCGATTATGTCGGAAAAAATCGTTAAAGTTGAGCAAGATTTTGAATTCTTTAAGTGCCTGACAAAAAATATTTATAAATAAGATAGTAATATAATACTTCATATAAATATAGTATATATTTAATATACCAATAAAAACATAATCTAATTATGTTATACATGACATTACAATATTCTTTAATTTTTCTTGAACTTCAAGTGGCACTTAAAAAGATTCTTCTCCATATTTTTTCATGGATCGATCGAATAGAAATTGATTAATTTATATAGCAAATTTGCAATATCAGTGGACCTGCTCGACTACGAAGTTAATTGATTCTAACCGCTCTGAGTAGCCTCAACATGGCCCAAGGGTTTGGTTCCCTATAAAAGCTGACCCTTTCCCAGTCTTCGACACTTCAGTTCAGTTTGAGAATCATGAAATTCCTGACCATCTTTGCATTCGCCTGTGGTAAGTTCGCACCCTGAGCATTTCAACGTTTGAAAAACTAAAAATAGTTGGCATAATTCTGGTAGTGGCTTCGTTTGTGGTGCTCCACGGTGTCTACGGCTCACCGCTGCCGGTGCCTAATCCGGAACCAAGTCCTGTGCCCGAACCTGCACCCAAGGCAGAGCCCGTGGCCAACCCCAAACCCGTGGCTGCTCCAAATCCATTGCCGGTAGCCAATGCCCCCCAGTCCGCAGCCGCAGGTGATGGGAACTTTGTGGCTCTTTCCGCCAATGCCGAGCCCATGGTTCTGTCTCCAGAAGCTGCAAACCTAAAGAATGAAGAAACCCCGGTCATCTAACCAGGAGTTAAAGAGCAGCAGCAGCTAAATCCTACTGGAGCCTAGACACAAGCACACAAGGAAGACGCACACACGCATATATATATTTATATATTATTATTGTATATTATGTATTCCAACATCCAGCATGGGCATTAATAAAAATGTAGAAGGAATAGATTCGGTGTAAAGTTTTATAGAGTTTTTGATAAGATATATATCGATCAACTGTCCCTTTAGGCCTTCGGCTTTGCACCAAGCTTGCCGAGGGTGTAACTTCTCTTCAATTATATTTTGGCTTATTTATTTTATATTCCTATGTTTTTTATATATAATTACCAATCATTTGATTACGCATGACCAGGATTTTTTCAGTCTTTCAATTAAAATAAAAAACCTTACCCATAACCCATATTCAAAGAGTCACAAATGCCTGCCTAAATCCATTTCCCCCATCAACTTCCTGAATACAGATTACTGGGCCACGGCAGTCTCATGACATCGACACCGGCCGGCCGAGAGACCAAGCCACCGACCGACCGGATTTGCGTGAAAAAAGCACCGGCAAAAAATCACTTACAAAGAGGAAGCGGCCACTGCTCCAACTCCGACTCCAGCTCCAGTCCCAGCCAGTTTTATCAATGAAAAGACAGTGTGCGTGTAAGGCAGAGTTGATGACAAAAACCCACCGACGACCGCAGAGACAATGGCATTGGAGGGCATAAAACCACACGAAGGCCCATTGATCGGTGCGTCGAGTCTAAAGCTGGGTTCATCCGCATGGGGCTGTGTATATAAATCGGTTTATTTACATACACACACTATATAGTACTTCCCCTGGCCTCTTCCGTCGATCGTAAAACTTATCTCCAAGCTCAGCTCGTTCTCAATCGTTACAAGAGGGAACAATGTTGAGATATCAATTTACATGTTAACACATCGTGAGTCTCTGAATGAGTGGATGACTGACAAATTGGCAGACTATGAATGAACTCTGGGTGTATAAGAAGTTCAGCAGGTTTTTGTGTATAAGCCCCATGGGAAAGTAAAGCTTAGAATGTTTTGCAAATTTTTATAAAAAGAACCTTCAAACGGTAGCAAGTCAATGGGGGGGCCTTTCACATAAGTATTAGCAAAATTAGAATAATAATTGGGTTCCATTTGAGTGGGCTTAGAAAGCAAAACGTTTTTTCTTCTGGCAAATTCTGTGTGATTAAAAAACAGAACTACTGACTCATTAAAAATCCAGCTTAAGTCCCTTTACATTTCCCGCCAGTAATGCCTCAAACAAGTTTACGATCTTCTTTAAATATTCACAGCGAACTTCGCATAATGATGATTCTTTATTGATATGTTTAGGGTGTCAATCCCAAGATGGGATATGGCAGACCATTTTGCAGATTGGAAAACGTGGGACCTCGTCGGGCAGCCATCAAAAAGGCCAAGCCGACCAGAACTAGTAAGGAGAAAATTATAAATAACTAAATACCAAGAGTTTTTTACAGTACATATACCTATAGTACTTATAGCCCTCATGTTCGCTTTAGACTAAACGAGAATATTTTTTAAATTAGATGACTAATTGTAAACAAATTAGATCCGGTTAATCGCATTTACCAATTCGTTACTGTCAAAGGTGTGAACTTCACGTCAATAAATTCCCTGATCCACAAACCCCGATGTGTAAAACCACCAATTAGTGTTTTTAGCCTGCCTTTTGGATACATCTCATTAGAGGAGGCCGCAAATTCATAAATATAATCATTGGCAGAGCTAAAAAAGGGCGACTCATACAATTAAATCGATATAAATTATAAATCATTTTCAATAATTTTTGCTTATTTTTTATTTTGGCAACTGAAAATGTGCCAAATAAAAAACATCAAAAGCGGCATAATTATGGCAAATACAAAACCCACTTAATTATATTATCAACAGCAAAAAATATTGAAAAATTGAAAAACAATGCGTGGCATGAACCCAAAAAAATGTTTGTTGTTTTACTGGAGCAAGGGGGGAGCTCATAAAAAATGGAGGAGAGCGGAATGAAAGGCAGCTGGCAGCACATTAATTTATAATTATTTAGGCTACCATCAAAGGGTTAATCAGAACAAGTGCCACTTGGTTGGAGGCCCAGACGTGAAAGTTGTAGGGAGAATACATAGCGAATGGTGAATACACTTCTTTAAAATATTGAATTAAAAATTTATAAATATTTATAAAATTCTAAATAAATTAAAAAACATAAAAGAAAATAATACAAGTATTGATTTTGGGTTTGATATTAATTTTTGATTTTTCCAAACAAAATAAAATTTTAATAAATTAAAGACTTGCATTTTAAAACGATTTAATAATAATATATTTATTTATCCTTCTTATAGGAATTATATTAAATAAAAAAGCTAACATACCTCTATTCCAGTTAAGTGTATTCCCTAACTCATGTGGCGCAGCTCTGAGAAACAGCAACCGAAATACATTTTGTGGTCTGCTGGCTTTTTTGATTATTATTTTTCGGGGTGAGGCAAATTCGAAATTAATTTCCTCAACTGTGCGGGTGCCTCCAAATACGGCGGAAAAGTGGAAAAAATGGATCCACTCCAGATGAGAATTGCATAAAACAGACTCGGCATTACAGTCACAGCCACCCGTCGCCAGTTGCCCGCCTCATTAGAGCTAATCAAACTGAATGCTCTAATCAAAGTGGTTTGATTGCAAATCATTTTCACTCACACTTTCAGCTTTTCACTTTCAATCCAATTGATTGAGGGGCGGAGGGGGCGGCGGCGGGAAAATGGCGAAACAACGAGCAAGAAATCGAATGCGGAGAAATTAGCAAAACGTGAAACTGAAACCGCAAACAGCCATCAAATCGGCGGGCTGCAGGAGACAGTAGACAGGAGACAGGCGTGGGAGCCATGTCAGGGCATCCAGGAATTTACCAGGCGGCTGAGCAGAGTCGGATTCAATGGAAATAATCCAGGCTCCGAGTTCGTGTCTTATCGGGAATTTACGCTCGCGTGATTTGTGTGATTTTGCGATTGTTTAAACAATTAAAGTTTGCCCCGAACTTGGGGGCCAACTCCTGCGAAAGACCACGACCCAGGCCGGTATGGGGTTACGTGACCTGGAGCCTGGTTATAAGCAATTAATTGATTAGTCCTGGATAGCCATCGCTGATGACAAATAAACAGAGTCCCGGGAAAGTAAACGATGGGGATAATTAAATGTTAAGAACACTGTTAAGAAAGATTGTTTGAAAATTATAGAATATAATTTGTAATGGGAAAAGTTAGAGTATATTTTATTTTTAAGAAATATATATTGCAGTGCACTTAAATATGAGTGTGCTACTTAAAATACCTCACAATTAAATAAAACCATAATCGGCTTTACTTTCATTTAGCCAGCAAATTTGATTAAAATTAAATCGGCTTTAATTTGACCAGCAATTCATGACGTATTGGACTTTTATCAAATCAATACAAACAAATTAAACGATAAAAAGGCTAACCAAGTATAAATATTTATTTGGGAAACTTAAACAATATTATTATAAAATCAGACACATCCGCTTGGACTCTGCAAAAGACATTAGCAAATTAGATTTGATTTTTTGTTTATTGTTTGGCGGCTGATTAAAAGGCCTTTGTTTTCCGTGTGAGTTTTGTGGACGCTGCGTGGTCAACATAAACGAGCGGAAATCAATGATTGATAAGCATCGGCGAAATGACAAATTAATTGATTGAAAATGAACGAACAGAGAATGAATCATTTAATAAAGCTTTGTGCTATCTAACTCCCTTGGCTGCTGCGTGTGGTCGGTCGAAGGTCGAAGGTACAGTATCGATGATAAAGGATTGGCAAAGGACGTCCAATTAATTGATTGCCACGAAGGGCCGTGACTGGCTTAGGCCTCGGTTTGGGCCTAATAGAGCGTTTAAGGCTTAGGCGGGCTCTTTCAATTAATTAAAACCGAATCCCAGGAGGCTCTACCTCGGTCTCTACCTGGCACTCCCTTCGGAGTCAAGTGAACACCTGGCCGAGGCTGCAATTGCAACACTTCACCGCTGAGTGGGCACTACTTAGCCGGCACTCACACTGGGTTCCAAATGACTTTTGTATCGATTGGCTCAGGACAATGGACATTAAAGCGCATTCGTTGCGCCGCAGGACAGGAAACGGAAACGAAAAAACAATCGAACACATCGATTCGCATTCAGTTGGGGACATCCTGCGGTGTCTTTGTGCCGCCTCAAGTGAATCCTGCCTCATGAATGAACCAAAAAAAGAATACATTTCCACTTACAAACATTTTAGCTCAAGCTGGGAAATCTTTCATCTGCCAGCCGGCAGGTTCCCCTAAGTTTCAGTTTCACAAAATGTTGTCTTTCCCCAGTTTAATCTGCGTAAAGCAAACAAAAATAATGATGTACCTCCGGGTAGGGGAATCCCCTTGTAGTATTTAATATGCAAATATTACTTTTTCAAGTTTAATTGTCAGTTGACGAGGACTTGAGCAACAACAACAAAAAAATATTAACAAGGATTTGACAATGAATTTGAAAACACTTTATGCCAAATGAGTTTTTCTTTGTTTTTCAATATGAATATTTCTAGGAAGTACATCTTAACCCTTTTCTATTCCCATTTTGCTTTTCTTATCAGCGAGCAGCTTAAATATTTGCCAGTTGAGCAAACACAGTGTGTTTGCTTAGCTGCAAAAGCGACCGATTTAAATGGGGCCATGATAAGATTTGAGTCCTCAGTCACTTCAATATCCTCTTGTTCCCCCAGCAATCAAGATCCAATTACAAACAAATGCCTCAAATCATAAACAATATTAAACTGGCAACACAATGGTCATCATTTTGCGGCATTTGCATTTTGTATCACACCGATAAGATGCCATTTCCTGTGACAAACAAGCAGCTGCTCTGAGAATACATTGAATGTGTGTTTAAAAAGGAGCTTTCAATATTATTTTAAATTTATTAAAATGCATATTTGTATAGGAAATAAAACTATTCGCATTACTCAAGCTAAACTTTAGTCTCTAGGTTATAAATTATTATAAAATATTATTATTAAATTATTATAGTCTTAACCCAAAAAGGTTGTTGTGTTAATCTTCCTCATATCTCTTTAAGTTGACATTTTTCTGTGTAAGTAATCATCTCTGGCGAGTTAAACATGCCCAGAACTCACTCCTTCTGTCTATAAAAGCTGTCATCAACATGACAAAGCGGCTTTTGCCTTTTTTGGGACGAATGCCTTTGGTGGGCGGACTGAGTCTTGTGGACGAGAAACATAAATGAAATGAAAGATGGTTTGCCGTGGCTGATTATATGCCAAAGAAATGTGTGGAGATATATGTATAATATGCTTTTTTGTTTTTGTTTTTAGGCTCATAATGGATTGTCGTGTGCCTTAAATATAAATATCATTCTCGCATTTTAGTGTGTGTTTTTATGAAATTTATTTTTGTACATTTTCATGTTTGATTACGTGACAAATTTTCGAAATGCGGCTCGTAAAGCGAATCATCACGCGGGGTTGAACACACTCAAGGTTCTGCCAGCTTTAAGGGCTGATGCACTCTGGCAAGGATTAGGTAAACGGAATCACCAAACTTTCCACACTTTGTTCCCCCTTTAAAACCCTTTTATTTATCAAACAATAAACTGTTCTTCTCCATAAGCACATTCCATTCGCTGGCGGCATTTGCATAATGATTGCTGCGACGGAACCACATTCCAGACCCGCTCCGAGCCTGGCAATAAAACTAATAAAAAGTGTTGAGCTAACAAAATGCATATCATAAATTACAGACATTTTTCGGGAACCCAAGCTGAGAGCGGCGGACGATCCTCAAAAACCGAAAGTCTGCATAAATCTTTTCAAACGAAACGCTCTCAAGCGACGTTTGGTCCATTTAAAACTCATGAAAGGCGACACTTTTACCCTAAACTGAATTCCGGTTAAGGCAACCATCCCCAGCTAGAAAATTAGAGCAATCGAACGAGATCAGCCAGAGGGAAAGAGATACTACAGGTAGCCCGGTATCAGGTAGATTTCGGCTAAAACCAAAGGGACAAAGAGGACAAATTGCGTCAACACGGCGCCCTGGCATATATTTTATTACGGATTCCATAATTTAGAAAGTAGATCATGACGAGTCTCTATATGATTTACAATCGGGAAAACATTTTCTGTTTAGAGCTTTAGATTTTCCTTTATTTTGCAATGAAAACAATGTAAACAACACTTTCTCAACTGAACTATATCAGAATCAAATCCCCCAAAAATACATAAGACCCCCCCTTCAAGCCAGCTCAGTTGGCTGAATTTATTAATAATTTGGAATCTTCACAAAGTTTTATATACATTTTTTGCATCCTAGTTATATTTTTCCACTAATTACTGCTGAACATGTTATGTCCAAACCTCCTCCTTGTGGACCGGAGCTGCAAAGTCCGACTTGAAGTCAGTTTTGCGAGTGTGAACCAGCTTCCCAGAGATATCGTTGACATCATGCTGGCTAGTGAAGTCGTAGACAGTTTTCAACTGACCATCGATCGTCTGCCGAGAGCTGGAGCTGGACCTGGACTGAATGCTGATTTGGGGAGCAACGGTGCCGAAATGCCACAGGCAGAGGCAGGCTATGGGGTAAAGGGAATTTTAAATAAATTAATTTCCAAATATTCTCGGGTACTTCAAAACACTTGCAGAAAATGCCGATCAATCGGATGTAGTTCATAGTGCGAGATTTGTTTGAAGACTGTGGCGACACTTTACTAACTTGCCTCCCACTTGGACTATCCGTAACGCATGGAATTCGTTCCGCCAAATTAAGGAAATCAAATGCGCAATTTGAACGTATGGCTAACACCCTATAACTTTTCGAATTATATTTTAAGACAAGAGTGTCCGCATTTAGTCTACATCCTAAGCCCTTTCAGTGCTTTTAACTGTGACATCACTTGGTGGTAAATGTAGATGGGTTAAGACCCATTTTTATATAGGCGATTCGACCGTTACACAACACCGAATAAATAATCACTCACTTTAAGATATTACTAACTCCTTACGAATTTTATTGTTTTACTAGATGTGACTGTGACTGTGGCTTAGGCCTTTAAAAGCAGGTCTCTTATAGGCGCTTTATTGCCTTGTCGATCCTCCTGCGCAGCTCATTGAGCAAGTCTGCGTACTGATTTCTATAGGATTGCTTCAATTTTCTTTCCAGCTTTCTCATCTGCTTGCTGGTCTCCCTGTCAAGCAGCACAGCCATCTCCGTTTGGCTAGGCTTGCAATTATCCTTTTGCAACTGCTCCGCTTTCAGCTTGTCCTGCTCCTCCCGGAGCTCGTTTCTGGAATTGTTTAGTTTGACAGACAAGTGATCCCTCTCATCCGTGAGCAGGGCCAATTGGGTCATTGACGACTTAAACTGGGTGTCCAGTTTTACCTTCCATTCATCTAACAACTTGACCTCTGCCTGTGCTTGTGCAAGCTTCCTCCGGAGCTCGTTGAAGGGGGCTGTTTGTTCTACCTCGAAATTTAATATAGATTCGCCTTTGTTGGAAACAGTTGGTACAGTTGTTATCGGAGATTCAGATGTTGTAGATTCAGGTTCAGTTTTAGCCGGAGCGACTAAGAGGACTAGGAGGAAGAAATCAGTATACAAGGTTTGGTGTGGTGAAAATTCTCAAAAGAAAACTTACGCAAAGCTGCAGCAAAAAGAAGTAGGAACCTCATATTGAAGGGACGGGTCTTTCGAGAGTAAGCGAAGCAGAGATTAGACTCATTCTTAAATAGGTGATTCGATGGTTAAATAAGGCCGAAGATTTGTTCTGCGTGACCCTCAATTAGGGATCTTTCTGCTTGACTTTTAATGGTAAATTACGAGTATAACGAGGCGATTTATCACCACCCCCCTTTTAACACTCGGTTTTGGATGTAGTTCATATTGCGAGATTATATTCAAGAATGTGACGATGCCTTCCTAACCTCCCACCCACTTCGACCACTTCCTATGAAGCATGGAATTCGTTCCGCCAAAGTATTGAAACGCGCAATTTGAAGGTGTTGCCAACTCCCCATAACTATCCAAATTTTATTGGTATAGTTCGCATGAGTAAGGGTATGGGTATGGATTTTGTTATGGTTTCCTACTGGGTTTGAATAACTTTTTGAATGACCTATTTGTGATCGTCTTTTGAATCTCCTTCAGGACGAATTCGTATTTTCCTATCTTGCCTAGCGTCTCTTGGAGCTCCTTCTTGGTCCCTTCTAGGTCGCGGGCCGCTTCTTTCTTATTCTGCTTTAGTTTCGACGTTTGGGACTTTAACTTGGCCTCCAGCTTTTTCTTATCGTCTTCTAAGACATTGAGCCTTGCCTTTGCGTCTGCGAGCTCTGCCTGGAGCTTCTCTTCATCCTCGGAATTTATAGATTTGCCTTTGTCGGAATCAGTTGGTTCAGTTGTTATCGGCGAATCAGTTGTTGTAGATTCATCTGGTGCAGTTTTAGTCGGAGCGACTAAGAGGACTAGGAGGAAGAAATCAGTATACACGGTTTAGTGTGGTGAAAATTCTCAAAGAAAACTTACGAAAAGCTGCTGCACAAAGGAGTAGGAACCTCATATTGAAGGGTGGCTCTTTCCAGAGTAAGTGATGAAGAGATTAGACTCATTCTTATATAGGCGATTATTAGGTTAAATAAGGTGAGGTGTAAATGCCGAAGATTTGTTCTGCGTGATCGTTATGGTTCGACTTTTATTGGTTCATTACGACGAGTATAATGTGGTATCTTGTCACCAACCCATTGGAACCACTCAGTAAGTACCATCGGTTAAGAAGTGTTTTAAATTCTCGCTTTCGGATGTAGTTCATACTGCGAGATTTTATTCTAGAATGTGACGATGCCTTGCTAACCTGCCACCCACTTGGATCTTCCCGAAACGCATGGAATTCGTTCCGCCAAAGTATTGAAACGCGCAATTTGAAGGTGTTGCCAACTCCCCAAAATTATCCACATTTTATTGGTATTGATCGAATGAGTATGGGTATGGGTATGGATTTGGTTTCGGTTTCCTACGTTTCTCCTTCCGCGATATCTCCATGTCCAGCTTGTATTGCGTCTCCTGGAGCTGCTTTTTGGTCTCTTCTAGTTCGCGGGCCGCGGCTATATTTTTCTTATTTAGTTCTGACGTTTTGTCCTCGAGCGGTTTCTTATCGTCTTCTAAGATATTAAGCCTTGCCTTAGCGTTTGCGAGCTCTCCCTGGAGCTTTCTTTTTCCAATATTTTTCTTCCTTAGTTCTGACTTTTTAGGCTTTAACTTGTCCTCGAGCTGTTTCTTATCCTCGTGTGAGATTGGATCCTCTTCGAGCTGTTTCTGGTAAATAGTTGAAAAGGCGTTTTCAGAAGATGCAGTTGGTATCATAGGGTCCTCCGCCAATGCAGCTTGTATAGTAATGGCCGAAGTGGCCAACAGGACTAAAAAGAAAAAGGCAGGGTACAAACTTTGGTCTGATGAAAATCCTAAGAAGAAAACTTACGCAGAGCCGCAGAACACAGCAGTAGGAACTTCATTTTGAAGAGACGGGTCTTTCGAAAGTAAGTGAAAGTAAGTGAAGCAGGTTAGACACATTTATATAGGCGATACGACAGTTACATAAGTTGAGGCGCAACGGTCTAGATTAGAATTCCTTTCTGCTTGACCTTTAATGGCACATTACGGCGAGGCAACGTGATTATTTAATGCAACTTAATTCCCTGTTGAAGTTACCAGTAAATAACCATAGTTAAAGGATGGGTTGTAACTCTCGCATTTATTATTCAACTTTAGATCTGGGATGTCCAGCCTCACAGCTCTCTATTTATTCTACTCAATAGAAATGATCTAGCTTGTAAAACTTTTGGGTTAACTAAGAAAGTCAGAGGGCATGCCTTTTAGTCATAGAAATATGTTTTTTTTTTAATCCAGAATTTTTGGAACAAAATTTAAGACGCTTTGTTCCCGCAGCATGATTAACCTTTCTCGCCAGGCTGTCTTCTCTTTAGGCTCCCGCTCTCCTGCTATCATTTTGTCAGCCCGCTCTTTGGCGATTTGCTGGACATATTCGTTGACCTTCTCTGAGCTCGGACATTCCTCCTGCGGTGGCTGAGCATTGACCTTGCTGATCTTCAGATTTTCGCTTAACAGCTCATTCTGTAATTTTGCAATCTCTTTGTAGAGTGTAGACATTTTATCTAAAACAGTTTCGATCTCATTCTGTCTCAATACCATCCGGGACTTCTTAGCTTTTATAGCAATATTGACCGCATTCAACTGGGTGTTCATCTTTTCGAGCTCCTGAGTAATAATTTTATCTCGATTCGAGGGCAGAGGAAAAGGCAGGAGCTCTGCCATTGAGCCGCAGGCCACTAAAGCGAATTATTTTAGTTATTTTCTAATTCGAGTGAATTATTTTTTGACAAACACTTACGAGCCACAATCAACCATACAAGGTAGCCTTTCATATTGAACTATTTAAAGTTATCTGTTCCAGCAAGAAATATATAGAGAAACCAATTTGGAACGTACTTAAACGAAATATAGTTTGAATTATTACGGAAAAATTTGTTCTGTTCCGTGGAAAAACTAATCCGATATGGATTTTATAAAACTTCAAAGCCAAGACTTGGTTGATTCATTTTCTGAATTGTTTTAGAAGTTTTTGAAACTTTGTTACAATATTTCTATACTTATTTTAAAAAAGACCTAAAGAAAGATTAAATCATTAAGCTAGAAATTAGGCTGAATTTAATGTGAAATTAATTCAGTTTCATGACAAAAAATATATATAACAGACCTGCGCTTTTATATAAGTACTCCATTGTATCAATTCATATATGCAATTAATACGAGCTCATTAATTAAGCCACGACAGATTTATTAGCAGTCTAAGCCAAACTGAGACTTCCCATGCCAAATGAATGTGAGAAGGCAAGGAGCCAGCCAGAAAGTGGCATTGTCTTTACCGCCAAAAAGTGAAACTGCAGCTCGGCGATTTGAAAATTTCCAACATCCGTTGTCGGAGTGGAGGGGGAAATAATGAAACTGAAATTTCGCCCACATCTCCGGCTATGCAAATGAAGACTTGCGCCTGCGCACGCGTCAAATTGGAAGCGGAATTGGCTGTGGATGTGGGAGGCCCGAAACCGAGGCATGGCCATCTCGTGGGCGAGCGGTCACTCTGTGGCGTAGGTTCTCCTCGGGCTAATTGATGAAAATTCAGTCAAATTATGCGCAAGTTGCTCGCTTTTTGCGTGGTGTCTGCTGCCCCGGCTCCACATTTGGGCAAGAGTCGTTACTACCTTATAATCCACTCAAAACCATTCTGTAATTTTGATAGCTTATTGATTTTCACCTTACAAGGCACACAGAACACAACGAATGCCCATAAGACACATTTTGGTTTTCAATTTGGGGCAACGAGCAAAGATTATTGCTCGATTTTTATTATAAGATTTGTACAAAAATAGTATTTGCATCTTAAATTCCATCTAAGCTACCAAAAGACCTCAAGGGAAAATCACAACTAATATTTCTTAAAGTACTTAAACAATTAACATTAAACCAACCCGGTTAGCCACTAACCCAATAATGTCAGATCAAGATTATGGTTAAAATGATGTGAAAGTTAGTCATATTTTTACAGGAAGTTACAAGTTCCACAAAACTTTCCTACCCTCCGGCAAGTCTCTCCTATTTATTGAGCTTGTCATCGCAGCATCTCAATTAGCAGACTTTCAACGCCACTTCGATTTGGTTCTTGCATAAGTAGGAGACAATATCTTCAGCCGATTCCGTCTCCCGATTCCCACACAGAGACAATGGAGCATTTCTCATTTTGATTGCCGTATTATGATGATGATGATGATGATGATGATGATGGCTCTGTGTTTGTGACTTTCCACTGCTGCAGTTTTCGGTTTCAATTTCCCATGGCTGGAGTCGTATCCCACTCGCAGCCAGCATGTGTTTTATTATGATTTTCGCCGCTTTTCAGCTCGAGCTCACGCTTTCATTTGCGTTCGGAAAATGACCCACTTCCGGATTAGCATGCCATGTCCACTTTTACTGCGTGCTCCATGTGTATACTCCTCCATTTGGAAAAGGGCCTGGGCCCGGCATAGAACCATCGATGGGACAGGGGCTAATGATGTCGTAGGTATCCACTTGATAATAAACATCCGCCGCGTTCCGCAGTGAGTAAGTGTGTTGCATGTTTGTTGCATTTAATTGTAATTTATTTGCCGGGCCCATCGATGGGGGAACCCAGAACGGAAGCAAATATTTTCCGGTGGAAGCTGCCCCGGCCAAAAGGGAAGTCGCTGCCCAGTTCCACTCTGTTTTTTGTTATCCAACGTTCTATGATGCATTGATTGATTGTGGGGCAGGTCTAATGGGCTAATGGACTCTCAGTCAGTCTCTCGTGCTTGATAAGCAGCTTAAGACCAGAAGGACTTAACCCACTGAAAGCAACTAACTAAGAGGTGTTTTTCTATATTTAATATACAGATTTTTAAAATGTTCTTAAGGTCCCAAATGTTTTGTAACTATTTATATAATTTTAAAATATTTAATTTTTATTTTTTAACCCGTAAAACTTATTTTTAAAAGCATTTCCAATCCCCTTTACAGGGTCAAGGAGTTCGCCTGCCTGCGATGCCTTTGAATGACATCGATTTGCTGCCTTATGCGTACTTCTCCGGTCGCTGCGTTCTGTCGGCTTTTGCTTAAAGGGAAAAATTCCAATCGAAGCCGCATGCCAATTGGCGTTCGAGTGGAGCGATCGAACAGCATCCAGTCCCCAATCAATCAGACATAAAGGGAAGCCAGAGCGAATTGCTGGCTAATTTTACGCAATACACGCGAAGAATGCGGCGCACTGCGGCCGACAAAGGAAGCGGCCAGGTAACTTCTTCCGCTGCAGCAAAAGCACCTGAGCCCGGGGCATCCATCAGGCTAGCTTCACCCCATTTGGTGACCGGGGGAATGGGCGATTGGTGACCCCCATTCGCCACCAACAGCGGGCGACTCTTCACACCCGAGCCGGCATAATTGCCTCGGAACAGAACAGAAGCAGCCAGGTTAATTAGCTGCGGTTCGGGGGGAATATCCTCGCCCTCGTGTGGCCAGAAATCAAAGCGGAAATTGTTTATTAAACAAATCCACAGGCAGTTCTGTGTGTGGATAATGGACTTTTAATTGAGTTCTGGTGCGTGCTAGGGCCCCATATTATTGGTTCGAAATTGGGTATTGGATCACATAATCGCCGGGTTGTCACTGCTCCGGAAGCCTAACAAGGGATCCAAGATGGGGAAACTTATTTTTAGAGGAGTGGATTCTCAATAGAGACTTCAAGTTGGATTTCGTAAGTGTATCATTTGCATTTGTCAATGCGATTGGCACACTTTATAATGATCTCCAGTCAGCATTCCATTATAATCGATATCGTTACCATTCACTTTCATTCACCGAAATTATGTTGCTTGTTCAGAGTAAAATGGCTTTGTAATTGAGCCTACTGACATAAAGCTATCTCATGTCTTGGAAAAGATATTGAGAAACACGGTTTTTTAATAATTTTGCCGAGTGTTTATTAAAAGAAATAAACTGGGGCAAGGTATTGCTTAAAATATTTTTACTGGTCTACTTTTATCAGAGATTTTATATACTTTTATATTTTTCCATTAGCCTTGCAATTGATATACAAAATTAATGAAAAATAAAAGATTAATATCTTGTTTTAGCTTCTGAAGCCAAAATGAAACGTGGGTGATTTCAGCACATACAAAAATAATAGTGGTCGTCATGTGGGCTTGTGGCCACTGTCTTAGTAGGTGTCACTAGTCTCTAATTGCTGAAAATTATGCAAAATACTAAGCGCAATATACAAAGAGCTCTAAACTGTAGCCACAAATGGTTAAAAGTCATTTACTACCTTGTAATCCCTGCTCAGTTTGATGTTAAATCGACACCAGATATTGGATTTCACCGTACAAGGTAAGCAAAATTGGAAATCGCCCACCTTTAGGCATTTAATTTTCAATTTAGAGAACAGCTTTTGGGCTCAGCACTCGGGTAATGATGATTTCCATAGTTAACTTTCCTTTTCGGCTAATCAACAGCCGGGTATATCATCACCCACTATCATTACATCATAATAGATGCGCCATAGATCAGGGCATGAAATCGACTTCCGTCCGACACGCACTTAAAAATGATCGTGGCAATGCGGAGGGGAAAGTTATCAACATCTCATTACCATCGTAGAGAAGTATCGCCTCAATGAGAGTGAGTCTTGGCTTGGGCCTGGGTAATTCCAAACGCCAAAACAATGACACATAAATCGCTGAAAAAATCAAGCGTAACATCAACATTTTCCCATCCAATGCCGTACGCTGAATTCATCGGTTGAAGTGCCATATGGAAAGTTGCAAATTGGCCGGGCCATGTGGATGGAAAGCCAGGCAACAAGTCGCTTGCAGCTTGCTGGTAATGTGAGAAAAAAGCAAAGTGCAGCTGCCACAATTGTGACGACGACGACTGTCGCGCATCCATGAGATACTTGTGCACTCAGATACTCAGATACTAGGCAATTGTAGTTGCATGGCCACAATTGCCGCTGAAGTGGGAGGCGTGTTGTCACTCCCTACAACGACTCGATGCTGTTTTGAAATTCAATTCGTTTTGGCTGGCATATGCAGTCAGTTATATATAGACTACTGTCTATGGGTTAGAATTTTCTTTTATTTTCTATTATATTTGGTTTATATTTTTTATAAATTTTTTAAATATCTCCAAGGTTGTCTCATGTTCTATAGAACATAATTAGAGTCTGTATTTCAGTTGGCATCGCCCACTCAAGTCAACCGAGTAGCTTTAAAACTATTACACCCGGCATTGATGTAGGTCGTTGGTTTCCCAAGACAGCGTCATCGAATGGCTGCCATTTACGGCCCGAAGACTCTGCCAACATATGGCACAAGTATAAAAAGTCGAGGCGCATAAAAATCATCTTTTGTTTTTTATGAGCCGCGCCAGAGGCATCCGCCCGCACACGAGGCAGTGACATAAGCTGCCGTTTTTTCGCTCGCCTTACATAAGTGATGGATGGATCTATATAAATACACATATCCATATACATAAATATATATACATATATGTGGTTCTTGGCCAGGTTTTTGGCGGCCAATTAATGGGAAGCCCGACAGGTTGGCGCGTGGCAACTTTTTCTCTTTCGGCGCCTACACTCTTGTAACGCTTTGTTGCCGACTTGATTGCATATCTGTTGATGTGTTATTTTTTTATGGGTTCGCATTCGATATTGGGGCCTGCTGCTGCATTTTCTGCGTGGGCCACAAAAAACAAAAACGAGCGTTGGCTGAAAAACAACTCAAAGACTCGTTCGTATCCATGAAAACCAAATTCATTCACTAAACTCGACTCAAGCTTTTAGTTTTTCATTGATAAAAAAGGCCTAGTTTATGAATGGTGC